CATGCAAGCCTTTTGTTTTAAGGTCAGTTACATCAAAGTGAACACTCCTGCCTCATTTTAAGAATCTAGAGGTTTTTGTGTCGTGCTGATAGCCTGATAAGCTGTTATTGGTCAAGATGGGCAATCCTCTGAATCTGTCATGACTGCATTGCGCTCTGGAAAGTTCACAGGATAATATTAATGGTTCGGCTATATCTTTGAAATTAGGGTGAGTTGCAAGCAGCCTTTTCTTTCATGCAGGATAAAATTTACTGAATACAGAACATTTGTTGATTCTTATCCTAAACCCTATAGACCAAATGGACAAATTTCTATAGCCACATGGATGACCTCAAACAAATATTTATTATAGACACTAATACAAAATTATAAAAGACACTTCTTACTCAGGCCAGTCGTAGTGGTTTTACAGAGGGCACGTTCGTTTCCCTTCAGCTTCAGCTCTGAAGAAGTATCCAACTGCTGATGTGAGTTCAGGTATAGTCACAGTGAATCTATTGAGTTCCATGCGTAGAGTAGTTCACACAAAAGCTTAAAATTTTGAGAAAAGGAGAGCATTGTACTTAAACAGTATTTCAAGATTTAAAAATAGTAATAGTATCATTTTTTACGAGAAGATTGCAACTTGATTATATTATGCACCTCAGCGACCACTATTGAGCGCAATCGATTTGTGACTTCAGACACTTCATCTTTAATCAGCACAGAAGGGGCCTGGCAGTTCCTACTACACATAAAAAAGAATGATAAATTAATAAATATGAATTTGGGCAAATATTAACTAATTGCCTTTTGTGGTTTCCAAACTTTACATGATTGAAACAAGTATGACATCAATATGTAGGCATAATAGATAATACTATCAAGTTAACTGCGGTGAAAATATCATGAACTCTAAATAACTCTGTCCCAATAGCACATATTCTGTGAAGCAAGAAGCCAAGAAAATAATGTCAAAGCATCATATAGTACAGTGAATTTGTGATGATGGAAACATCAATATTTGTGTGCATGCATGTGGCTTAACTTGAATGAGCAATTCAAAGACATTGTAGACAAAACCAGTTTCATGCTAACTGAAGTGTGTCTGCGCAGTGTGTGGGAATGGATTTCCGCTTTTGTAATCTATGTCAAAAAATGAAAAATATTTTAAAGGCCTATGTCTGACGATATTATATCAAACCGCTTGCACCTGGCAGCTAAACTGGATAATTGTCACCGGGAGAAAGTCTGATGCACAAAGGATACTGAAAAGCGCTAACTTGGAAGGATAATCCAATAGCTAAACCGCTTAGGGGGACAAATCAGTGGTAGTATAAAATTAACTAAACGAGAATTCATATCTAAAACGGTTGTTCCAAGAAATGCGATCATCAACTACTTTAAAAGAATGGCGCGGTCAAGTAACAGTGATTTGCCAAAAGCAAATTGTGTCAGTAAAGTTCACCAATCTGCAGTACCAAATCCAAACTATGGATGAGCGTCAGGCCCCCATTCGGCAGTTGGCATAAGTTCTTTTTAGTTTTATTATGCCAAACCAGAATTATTCTAGATGAAGTTGAATTGAATTTTCGTAATTAAGAACAAAACCAACAAAGAATTAATTGACACAAATTGGCTAAGCATCTAATTTTTAGCCACCTACAATAGAAAGTTTGTGACTTGTGAACAATGGCATTTATAAATATAAAATAAAACACAAGTAAATTGAGATATCAGGGATCCGATGCCCGGACCTTTCGGCTGGACATCGTCGTTTGCCCGTGCTTGACTTGCTGTTACCAGTGTCGCAGGTTTCATACGTTTGTTTGGACAATCTACAATTTATCAAATAACTTATTGCCAAATTTCTAAGCAATTATAATGTGTAAATAGTAAAAAAATGCTTACAGTTACAGGCTACATCATTACCTGCTAGGCTGTTGGCCTGCTGTGGTACAGCCTTTTGCCTGCCTGCTGCGTGAGAGACGGATAGATTGTGCCGGCGGCCAGGATGCGAGACCAGGGGCGAGATCTATGCATCTACCAATCGGGACGGGGGCGGATCAGCGAGGGACAGGGGAAGAAGGCAGAGCGCGTTACGTTCTAAGGCGAGGCCGGAGCGCGCGGAGGCGTTGTTGAGGAGGGCGAGGCCGACGCGGGGGGGGAGGTACTCCGTGCCCCGCCGTCATGCTCCGCCTGCTCCTCCAGGCGGCAGCAAGCGAGCCTCGTCCTCCGCCGTCGTCGCAGCCGCGACTGCCGTGCCGCCGCCATGGGGGATCGCGGCCATTCGAGGCTGGATCACCTCAGGTGTCACCCGCCACCCATTTGGCGCTGGATCGTCGCCGCTGCCCGATCTGTCGCAACGACGCCCCTCCCGCCGTGCCGCCCTTGGCCTCACACCGCCCGCCGCGAGGCTTGGGCGATCATGGCGTCCTAGTGGGGTGGGGAGAAGGCGTCGGCGTCTCGCGATGATTGTGGCGTCGGTGTGGGGTGGTTTGTTATGGAAAGAAAATCAGAGGAAGAGGAAAAGGGGTAGGATGGACGGGGGATCGCAAGAGACGGCATAGGAGCAGAGGGGTGCGGGATCACAGCAGGACGATGGACCACGTAACGTCGCAAAAAAAATATTCACGTTTTGTTTTTTTAGTTGCGGAAGATGTAGGAGAATTGTTGAAATTGGGACCTTTCTCTTATTTATGTAGTTTGGCACTTTGATAATTTTTTTCCTGCTCTTGTAGATCACTGAGGCAATGACCATACACAGAAAACTTGTGATGTTTGACTGTTTGAGGAAATAGCTGATAGAGTAGAATAATAACCTGCCTAATCATAGTTTCTTATATTGCCTAATGCACATATACATGTTAGAGATTTGTAGTTAGGGAAAGGTAGAGTGCCTCCTACGTCAACCTTTTTGATTTATGCAGTAAATTGATATGAAAATTTCTGAACAGAAGGATAAGATGTGCTTCATATATTGAAGCTGTTGAGAGTAATCAGTGAGAAAATTCCAGCAGATGATAAACCAAAAAAATCTTAAAATCTAGGAAACCTTTTTTCTTGGTTGACAATAAATTGAGATCGAAAAATCTGCAGGGAAATAAAGAAAAGATGTGCTTCCTAAATTAAAACGGCTGATGGTAATTAATGAGAAATTCTAGCGAATGATAAATAGAAACAAAAGGAAAGGGGAGAAAGAGGAATGATATCTTTAACATAAAAGTTGTTGTCATATTACATGGAATGAAACTTGAAATCCCTTTGGATTCAGCAATAGATAAAAATGCCAGGTAAGTGGAGAAGCAGTAAGCTAGTACCTAGTCTCAGGAACAGGATAAATGATGCTCTGGAGGCGGTAAGTTAGGCTGGCATGGCTAAATTCCAGGCATCGAACTTGTTTAACATAAACATGAACAGAGCCACACTTGGAAGCATTATGACAAGCTATCATTATTCATCTACATAAGTGATAATTATAGACGAAGGAAGTTCACTAAAATTTATGGACACTAGAAATGGAAAGGAAGTTACCAACTTCTACAGAGAAGGGAGTACGGGGGGGGGGGGGGGGCAGAGGTACTCCGTGCCCCCGCCGTCGTGCGTCTCCGCTTGCTCCTCCAGCGGCAGCAAGCGAGCCTCGTCCTCCGCCGTCGTCGCAGCCGCGACGCCGCGTGCCGCCGCCATGGGGGATCGCGGCCATTCGAGGCTGGATCACCTCAGGTGTCACCGCCACCCATTTAGCGCTGGATCGTCGCCGCTGCCCGATCTGTCGCAACGACGCCCCCGCCCGCCCGCCGCCTTGGCCTCACACCGCCCGGGCCGCGAGGCTTGAGCGATCATGGCGTCCCCTAGTGGGGTGGGGAGAAAGGCGTCGGCGTCTCGCGATGATTGTGGCGTCGGTGTGGGGTGGTTTGTTATGGAAAGAAAATCAGAGGAAGAGGAAAAGGGATAGGATGGACGGGGGATCGCAAGAGACGGCATAGGAGCAGAGGGGTGCGGGATCACAGCAGGACGATGGACCACGTAACGTCGCAAAAAAAATATTCACGTTTTGTTTTTTTAGTTGTGGAAGATGTAGGAGAATTGTTGAAATTGGGACCTTTCTCTTATTTATGTAGTTTGGCACTTTGATAATTTTTTTCCTGCTCTTGTAGATCACTGAGGCAATGACCATACACAGAAAACTTGTGATGTTTGACTGTTTGAGGAAATAGCTGATAGAGTAGAATAATAACCTGCCTAATCATAGTTTCTTATATTGCCTAATGCACATATACATGTTAGAGATTTGTAGTTAGGGAAAGGTAGAGTGCCTCCTACGTCAACCTTTTTGATTTATGCAGTAAATTGATATGAAAATTTCTGAACAGAAGGATAAGATGTGCTTCATATATTGAAGCTGTTGAGAGTAATCAGTGAGAAAATTCCAGCAGATGATAAACCAAAAAAATCTTAAAATCTAGGAAACCTTTTTTCTTGGTTGACAATAAATTGAGATCGAAAAATCTGCAGGGAAATAAAGAAAAGATGTGCTTCCTAAATTAAAACGGCTGATGGTAATTAATGAGAAATTCTAGCGAATGATAAATAGAAACAAAAGGAAAGGGGAGAAAGAGGAATGATATCTTTAACATAAAAGTTGTTGTCATATTACATGGAATGAAACTTGAAATCCCTTTGGATTCAGCAATAGATAAAAATGCCAGGTAAGTGGAGAAGCAGTAAGCTAGTACCTAGTCTCAGGAACAGGATAAATGATGCTCTGGAGGCGGTAAGTTAGGCTGGCATGGCTAAATTCCAGGCATCGAACTTGTTTAACATAAACATGAACAGAGCCACACATGGAAGCATTATGACAAGCTATCATTATTCATCTACATAAGTGATAATTATATACGAAGGAAGTTCACTAAAAATTTATGGACACTAGAAATGGAAAGGAAGTTACCAACTTCTACAGAGAAGGGGAGTAAACAGAGAGCATGGTAAAAAAGGATTTCCTGATCTGACTAACTTTTTCAGACCCTGCTGTTCGATGGTAGAGGGATGACACCATTGAAGAAGTCCCCAAAGTAGCCAGGCGGTTCATACACCAACTTGGCGATTATATCTCTGAGGGTGATCAAGCCGTCCAGGTTCCCTTCCTCGTTGATCACGTAGATCCTCTGCCTCTTCTCTGCATCCAGCTTCAGTATTATGTCCTTGGTACTGTCCCCTCTACTGCACGTTATGATGCTCATTTGCCTTTCGCCGGAGCTCTGCCTCGCGTTCGCGATGAATTTTTTTGCTGTTAGGGTCCTGCAAGTGGTAATTGTTTAGCGTACTTGTCTTCTGTTGTTTAATTTTACGGTTGTTTTGAACTGTTCTATGGCTCAATATACATCTCCTTTCATGTTCATACACTAAGGGGGTGTTTGGTTTATGGAATGAAGTAGTCTATCATCATCTCACTTCTTAGTTTTTTTTGTTTAGCAAATTTTGTATCCTCATTAGTAACAATGTTTCTGATATTGATGATGTTGCCATGTAAATAAAGCACATATATAAACCTGACCTGTAGTCTCTGTTTGTCTCCGATGCCGTAAGGAGATGCTTGACATCCTTGATCATTATGCTGCCTACCGCCCTGCCGCTATCATCCACCACCGGTATGCCTCCGACCCCTTTTCTCCTCATCAGCCGGAAGGCCTTGAGAGCCGGCTCGTCCTCGCGAACCTGCCAATATAATTTCACCGGATCATCACCGGGATTTTTCTCGACGGAAATCGGGGGATTCTGAATCAGGGATGCGTAGTGTACCTTGACGATCTTGCTGAGCCTCATGATGGGGAGGCCGATCTCGGAGAGCGTCTTGGTACCCCACTCCTCGAACCAGTGGAGGCCGACGCACTCGGAGAGCATGTGCACGACGGCGGCCTGCGTGATGATGTTGCTGATGGTGCCCTCGCCGATGTCCACCACGGGCAGGCTCTTCATCCGGTACTTGGACAGCAGCAGCAGCATGGTGAGGAACGTGTCAGAGCTCTGCAGCGCCAGGAACGGCGCCCACCGGAACGACCCGGAGATGTCCTTCACCTTTGTCTTGTTGAACAGGTCCGAAGACGGCAGTGCTCCAAACACTTCTGCGATGGCTCCTTCAGACTCCACCGCCGCCACTTTGGACGCGACCGCGGCGGCGGCGGCGGCGGCGGCACCCTCGAGGGTGACGGTGCCTAGCTTCGCTGCCAGCTCGTCGGCGCCTACGTCGTCGGCCTTCGCCGCGGCTTCAGACTGGTGGAGCAGCCAGACGGCGATGCCGGCGAACTCGACGATGCCGATGTAGCGGTCGATCCAGCTGGCGTCCTCGGGCGCGTCCACGTTCCTGACGGGCGCGCTGATGATCCTGTTGCGGGACAGGATGTCGACGGCCTCGGCGAGCGTGGCGTCGGAGGGGATCTCCACCAGCTGCGCGCCGTCGAAGGTGTGCGGGAACGACGCGACGGGGATGCTGTCGAAGCAGCTGTTGAGCTTGTCGCCGTGGCTCAGCTGCCGCCGCTGCACGTCCAGGCTGTCCCAGATGTCCTCCACCCGCATGCCGATCTCCGCCTCGGGGCTCCACGACCGCGCGCTCCCGTGCGGGGTCGCCTCCACCACCACCGCCGCCTCCGCACGCTGCTCCGGCCGCGTCCGCACCGCCTGCATGGCCGCCTCGATCTCTCTCTACACGCGCGCTGCTTTTAATTGCCGGCGGGTGATTCTGCTTCGCCACGCCACGTACACCTACTGTTTCTTCTTCTTCTTGCTTGCTTCTCTTTCTTCATTCATTCATGCGCTAGCCGCTAGCTAATCTGTGTCCATTCCGACCACCAGAGCTATTTTGGTCCATCGCTTCGCTTGTGCAGCCGAGAACTGAGGCGCGCGCGGATCTCAGATAGTCAGATGTGTCGCTCCTAGCCATCGGCTTCGCGGGGTCGCAGGAACGCCCTCTGCAGGCATGCGTGGCTGGTGTCCTGCGTCTGCATCTCCATGCACGAGTGGATGTTGCTTGGCTTATTACCGGACATGCAAGGATTTAGCCATAGCTAGCCGAGCCTAGTTATTTTCAAATTATAAGATAGTTTATCTTTTCTAGATATACATTTTTTTTTTTGTTATGCACTTAGATATATATCTCTAGATACATAATGAAAGTAATGTATTTAGAAAAAAAAACATAATGTCTTATAATTTGGAAGGTGAGTTTTTTATAAAAAAAATTACCCCGGCTTTTATTGTTATGCCCGATGAATGGTGTCTCGATTCACCAGATCATCTACAAAACTCGAGAGAGGGTTAGTCCAATCTTAGGATGACCTGAGTTCCAACCCAACCAAAACCCATGAGCACAAAAATTACATACATGAGGTGAGAAAAAAATTCACCAAAACCAAAACAAAAGCATGAAAATTCCCAAAACACCGAATAAGGAGTGGTTCTCATCACACACTAAGGACTCAAACCCAACCCGCCCAGCGCTGAATCCACCCCTGTGCAACACTGAATAAGGAGTGGTTCTCATCACAAACTGAGAAGAACAATGGTTTTACTTACTTGGGAGATGGGCTCAGCATGTCGTGCCATAGGAGTAGGTGGCATCAAGTTAAGTTGGGTGATGCTAAAGATATGCTACTTAAGGGTGTGAGGCATGTGTTAAGGATAACAAGAAATCTGATTTTGCTTGGTTATTACATGAAGAAGGTTCTTTGTATTATGCACCTCCTGATAGAAAGATCTCGAGAGTCATGCAAGGAGGTGGGGCGATCATGGTTGATGAGAGGTCATAAGGATAGATTTGAGCAACCTCAAGTTTAGGTTCTCTTTACTTGTGTCTTCTTTCATGGATCAAAATCAAAGGACATCTAAAAAACCGTGCATTTTGCTAAATAGATGTGAAAAATCAGTCACGATCTAGTTTTCTTAGATTTGGCATTATAACTTTTGTAGCTTTGAAATTAAAATTCTTGGTGGAATGATATATTTGAGTTTGAGTTAACCTATTTGATCCTAAAATAGTTCCAAAAATCCAATGAAAATCATCTAAATCCATGGTTTGAAAATTAGTATTTTTCATGTAATTTCCTAGTACATGTACTCAAGTGAAACCCAAAGATTCTTAACAAATCACATGTTAAAAATTAAATGGCAGATACTAATTTAAATGACAAAGTTCCATATCAAATCATGTACTCCCTCCGTCCAAAAAAGTGATGTTCTAGGATTTTTCAGACATATTAGCGGAGAAGACAAATATTCCTAATACTCTTAGTATGTCACACATGATTCTCTTAAAATAAGGGATGTCGCGTGGTTTACTTCCTAATTAAGACGCCCTACATGCAAGCATGCAGAGATCGCAACAAACAATAGCGTATCTCAATTGGTAATTTGGCGCCGGATTTGTGGGCCAACAACAACGTGTCTAAAACTCAGAACATCATTTTTTCTGGGACAAATTTTAAATAGCAGAACATCAATTTTTTTTGGGACGGAGGAAGTATGCTAGAAAATTACACAACAATACTGATTTTGAACCATATTTTTAGATTATTTTTTCAAAAAATTTTATAAACCATTTTGGGGCCAAACAGCTTAAGTAAAAACTCAGATATACCATTCCATTCTAGGAAGATTTTTTATTTAAAAAAATACAAAATCTGTGATGCCAGATGTATGAAATAGATCGTCCTTGTTTTTTACTGTCTACTTAAAAATTTACATGGTTTTTTAGGTCTATTTTTTTTTATTTTGGTCTTTTGGATAAAAATATGCTAGGAAATAAAGGGAAAATAATATAATCGACAACCAGGAAGCCCATAGGTCCTCTCGCTGCTTAGAAACATTGGGCTTATATTGAGCATCGGAAGACCGACAACCCACCTATAGGGTTCCCAAATGTGAAATATCGACGGGCTACTACAATTTCTAGAGTTTGTTAACAACGGTGGGTTCTGTAGTTTTCAATTTTATATTAAAAAAATATTAGTTTGTTAAAGAATTCTGGAAGGGAGGACAATAAACGGGCCAGCGAAAACTATGAGACGAACTGGGCCTTTTTCTTCCTTCTCTTAACAACGGAGCCTTTGCCAACTGGGCTCAATTCTAGTGCATCAGCCGCTGAGCTGGGCCAAGAGATATTTTCCCCTTCAACCCCTTTCGCAAGTCATCCCGTCCAACTGTGGCCGTGTCGATCCCCAACTCCTCCTCTCGTACAAGGGACTACACAATCAGCACGCCACGTCCCCACCGCCCCCCACCGCTCCGGTCCTCCCCAAATCTAAGCGAGACGGGGCACAGGGAGAGGAGAGCCTAAAACCCTAACCCCCGAATCGGATCCCGCCGCCGGAGCGACGAACCCCGCCCCCGGCCGCCATGGAGATGGGAGGGATGAGCGATGCGGAGCGGCTGTTCTTCTTCGAGATGGCCTGCAAGAACTCCGAGGCCGTGTACGAGCAGAACCCCAACGACGCCGACGTACGATGCATCTCGAGCTCTCCTCTCCCCGTTCGCTTTCCCGCCGCTTGGATCAAACCCTGTACGATGTGATCTGGTTGTGTGTTCCTTGTGTGCGCGCAGAACCTGACGCGATGGGGCGGCGCGCTGCTGGAGCTGTCGCAGGTGCGGGCCGGCCCCGAGGGCCTCAAGCTCCTTGAAGGTATTGCTTCCTCAGATTAGAGGATTCTTCTTGTTTTTTATTGGGTTATTCGATGCACTACTTGTAGTTTTTTTATAGGATTTATTGGTGCACTACCGGCTAATGATCTTAGGATCTCAATATGTGCTTTACGAATTCATAAATCCATAGTTGAATCCTCGTCGTCATATGTTAGGCCCTTATGGCGGCAGTGTTGACCCCACTTAACGTTTGCCGATTGATTCACTGTGTTGCTGGCCCAGACATTTAGGAAATTTGTTGGCTCAGCTGCTATTGTGCTCTGAAAAATGTTGCTGTGCTGGTGCTGTTTCAATTAACAAGGATGGCTTTTGTTTGTGTGATTTTTAGTCCCCTCCTTTTATGTATCAAGTGCTTTACTCTTTTTCAGTGCTCTTTTGTCATATTCACCAGTGTCATGGGTATTCGCTAGAAAATTTCTGATAGCACATTGAAGCTGTTACTGGAATTTGTTTGTGTTGTGTGTGGTGCATCCTTTCTACCAAAATCTGTGCCATTTTTTTTAAGAATCAGCAGTCAGTTGTTACTAACAATTCAGGTGGCTTATATTGCTTATGTATCATCTGGGGACTGGTTTATTGCTTCCCAGTTTTTTGTTGTTTGCTCATTTGGTACTGTGAAGCAATGTTTTCAAGTCGTCCAGTCGAACCTAGTCGCCATGGGACCGACTAGGGACGATTAATCGCGATTAATCGGACGACTTATACAAGTGGACGGTACCCTAATCAGTCAGCAGGGACCGATTAGGACGATTAATCATGATTAATCGCGATTAATCGGACGACTTGAAAACATTGCTGTGAAGCCTGAAGCATATTGTAACGTCATTCATATTTGTTATGGTTTCTTGCTTCAAAGTGTTGTTTTGATTGCTCACTTGTTATCCATATTTAGTCATCTGCGAGATGCAGATTTTTCATATTTCATGAATGCCTATTGTGTTGTGCTGTGAGTATAAGATTTCATGAATGCAAATTTTCATACTTCAAAGTGTTATATGTTTAAATGCTATTACTTTTTAGAGTTCATGTATAGAGGATTACAATGAGCTGTGAGTATGTCTAGGTTTCTGCCACTTTGTAGATGTTAATGAACAGTGAAGGTGGTACTAATTGAATGAATGTTGTTACAGATGCCGAAGCCAAGCTGGAGGAGGCACTGCAAATTGATCCCAACAAGGCCGATGCACTCTGGTGCTTGGGAAATGCTCTGACCTCTCACGGATTCTTCACTCCAGACACTGCAATAGCTAATGAGTTCTTTGTAAAGGCAACCGGGTGTTTCCAGAAGGCTGTTGATGTGGTATGTGTAGGCCGTTATTGTGTTAGCTAAATTCGAACACATTTACACCGTTCCTTTTATCTGGGCTGACCCATAGTCACAAAGTTCCTGGTACGATTGGGTTGTGGAATAGGGATTGAGGAATGTAGTACGCTCTTTGAGAAAGTTTTTTTATTTTCCACTGGGGGGATGAGATTTTTCTTGTTCCTGCGTTCCTGGGACGAGGAACATGGCAATGTACCATGTTCCTGGTGACACTGGCTGACCTGCAGACCTGTTCGCATGGAGCTTGAGCCACATGCAGTCAGGTTGTCATGCAAGCATCTGGCAGAATATCCATGAAAGAGCTATGATTTTGCCTTTTTCTTTCCAAAAAACTTCCGTTTCTGCTGCAATGTCGTGTGCAATTTGGTTTGACTGGAAACTAAAGTTCAGACCTGCTGTTTGTAGGAACCTGCAAATGAGCTGTACAGGAAGTCTTTAGACTTGTCAATGAAGGTGGGTTCTTTTCTCCTTTCTGTTCAGCAGTATTTCCATGTCCTGATTCCTGAATGATGGTAAACTATGGACCATCCATGCTACTGAGTCTAAACTTATTTTCTTATTAATACTGGGTTTGAGTTTCAAATAATCAGGAGTGCTGTTTCAGCTTGTTACTTATTAGTTTCTATATTTGTTACACAATGCTAAAAATAGATTTGGACACTTTCAGCTATCAATCTTTTACAGTATGTTCAATCAGGCTGTTATAAGTGGTTAGCGATAATGCATGTGTATCATTCTAGTGACATTTGCTTCCGATTATCCCAGGCACCTGAACTGCATTTGGAGATCCAGAGGCAGATGGTTTCTCAAGCGGTGACACAAGCATCCTCAGCCTCAAATCCAAGGGTACTCTTCCTTATCTTGTTCCTAGAAACTACTTAAACGCTTGTCAGACTGACTTCAGAAAAGTTCCATGTCGGTTAATGTCTACCATTTTTGTGTGTTTTCTACCCTTTATTTATTACTATTGGAGGCTCATGATATGGTTTAGTATGTAGTTTATCCCAAATTTCTTGAGCATGAATTGCCTTTTTGGTCCAGCTGCTTTATTAAGCATTCCTCGTAACACTGGTTGGTAATTGAGTATGCTAAATATTTTCAGACATTAATGAAGATGCTTGCTAGTTTTGTATGAACAAAATGCATTGTGGACTGTTCTTTGTCCACAGCGAGCATGATGATGAGATCTTTCATGAGTAGTCTGTTCCTTGATGTTATTTTTGTTTTGTTTTGTACACTGTTCTCATTACAAGTCAGAATGCTTTTTAAACTGGTATTTCTGCTGTATATATACTGTATAGAAACTTTCTGTTTGATTTGTGCACTATGAACTGGAATGTGGCAGAGCTAAATCAGTTTTGGCATTTTATAGTTTGCTGATTTCATATGATATGTGGTTTAATGCATGCCTTACCCTGTGTCTATGCAACCCTATTTAAGCTGACAGCATTATGCTTTGCAGCAATCAAGGAAGAAGAAGAAGGATAGTGACTTCTGGTACGATGTTTTAGGATGGGTAATCCTTGGCGCTGGCATTTTTACTTGGGTTGGATTGGCAAGATCAATGCCTCCACCGCCGCCACCAGCGAGTTGAACTGATCGACTGCCAAGAATGCTTTGCAAATGATGGCACGCCTAAGTTAAGGTGCCTCAGATATGAATCTTGCTAGGTGTTAGTTTGTATGGAGAGGAGAGAGTGGTGTTTCCATACGGTTTGGTCAAATTTTCATGCCTGTTCCTTTTGAGCCTCGATGAGGTTTCTTTTATAATCATCATAGGCTGCTGGATAATTTTGTACTTGCTTACCTTGATACTGTTTCAAGGCTAAAACCATTACTATGTTGCGACTTTTAGTTTTGTTGGCTATGATACTGGATGTTCACAAATGGCGCCATGCATAAAGTGGTATCCTGTTCAATACCGCGAATAAATGTATGTGTTTGTGTTTTGACATTTTGCGACTGCGAATCCTACAAGCTACCTGTTCGCTTCGCTGAAAAAATAAGCCGAAACACTGTTTTGGTTGATTTGTTGGGAGAGAGACTGTTTCGGTTGAAAAAACAAGTTGAAAAGTATGGATTATAAGACAAGCGAATAGGGCCAATAATAGAAGCAGCCTCCATACTGTGGAGCTTGTAGTGCTCTAGTTTTTTTCCCCCTTCTTTTGTATAAGGGCTTATCCTGTCCCAAAACAGAACACTTTGGCTATGATTCTAGACAATTTATAGCTAAGTTGTCTTCTATTTTGTGAGGGAGGGAGTATTTCACAAGCTATACTCGAATACTCTGTTGAATTGTCGTGGCTTACTGTTGAGCGTTGCCAAGTTGCCATCTTGCAGTCTCTTGATTAAACCGCAAGTATATATGTGCACATAAGTACAACTTGGTATTCTCAGTTTTACGATACTACTACTACTTGACACGTTAGTTTCACACACAGCTGCATATTGCTTTGTGAAATCAACTGTAAAATCCAAGTTCATTATGGATTAATAACCCCATCAAGTCTCTGTCAGCCTATTGGCATAGCTCGCGCTTAAAGCTCCACCTCAGATATGAGTCGATCTCGATTTTCTTTTAAAAAACAAATAAAGAAGTTTAACCGAACATGAATACCCACCCAGGTGTATTCTTTTTTCTGAAATGACAGAGCATACTGTACTGCCTTTTCCCGTTATTATTGGTCGAATCCTGGTGAGATTCGAGATCCACGATCTGACTGTTTACCAGCCACGACTGACTGACCACATGACGGGGTACTAGTGCTGACTGCTGAGTGCTGTTAAGTCGTCTGACAGATCCAACTATCCACTTGACGCTGTGACTGACCATGGTCGGGTCGGGTGGTACTGCTGAATCGCGGACCGACTCGGTTCGTTTTCAGACGACGGCACGACGCGATGCGCGCGCGCGGTCGGTGTGCAGGTGCAGCCGAACGGAAGGGGCGCGCGGCGCGGTCGGTCGGTCTCCGTCTCCACCCACCATCAGTCACCCACCTGTTGACGCGGCCGCGCGCGCGTCTCAGGTCTCCCGGTAGGAGGCTGGGGCTCGGCCGCCGCACATGCCGCGCGGCGCGTTTTTCCTGGTCGCCGCCGCGTGCCCGGTGGGGCTCTCCGCCCCGTCGCCGTCGCCGTCCTCCTCCGGCCCCGTCACGTACACCAACACATAGTACACACCTATAACCCCGGGCCGGCCGCAGGCGGGCGTTCCTGACAGATCACGAAAAGCTGGCCCTGGCCCATGCAGCGTCGCGTCGTCCCGGCCAGTGCGGGTGCCGGTGCCGGTGGCTGTCACGCCACGCACGGCTTTCCGGGCTGATGATGGGTTGGAGTAACTGCAGGTACCGGCCGGTCTCGGAGGATAGGACCTCCTAAACTATAGTAGTCAGCTATCGTATCGAATGTTTTGACACATGTATTAAATTTAGATTATTTATAAAGCTAAATGCATATATTAAGACTAATTTACGAGATAAATCTATTAAGCTTAATTAGTCTATAATTTGACAATATTGTGCTAAAAAACATGTGCTAATGACGGATTAATTAGACTTAATAAATTCGTCTCGGGATTACCGAGGACTTCTGTAATTTATTTTTTTATTAGTTTTCGAACGCCCTATATGACATCCGATGTGATACCTCTTAAACTTTAGTCCCTGTTCCACCTACTAAAATTTAGTCTCTATCACATCGAATGTTTGACACATGCATGAAAGATTAAACATAGACTAATTACAAAACTAATTACACAGATCGAGGCTATTTTATGAGATGAGTCTATTAAACCTAATTAGACTCATATTTAGCCCTTCTAATTAATATCTAAATATTCGACAAGACATCTACTAAACTTTAGTTCCGAAGCCAAACGACCCCACTCACGTCCACTCATGGGCGAGCGAGGGCGATGATGGACGGACGCCGTCGCGTGCAGGCGTACAGGGTGCGGGTGCAGACGTGCAGTGCGTGCGTGCCCTCCTGGCCGGGCCTCTCCTCTTCCTCTCCATGTCTCCCATCCAGGACAGGACAAGCGCGTCTTCAAGGCTGGAGCCGTGTCGCGGCTCGGGGCGTACTGTACGTGGTAGGCTGGGATGGGCACGGCCACGGACGGATGATATGCATGAACAGAAGCAAGCAAGCTATGCTTCCTCCTCAAGCGAACAGGTCTGGATGCGGGCAGCGAGGGTCGGCGGAGGAGCAGCAACAGTACCGGCCGCCCGGACGGACGGACCATCACCATGCATGCATGGGCACCAACGCCAAAGCGCCATGGGGCCGGCCGGCCGCGCATGCATTGGATTGGATTGGCACATGCTGCCATCGTTCATCACCACTCCTGTGTCCGTCCGGCCGACCGATCCATGCATGCATGCATGTCATATGAGTGCGTTGCAAGCAGCGTCCGAGAGCCATGAGCTGAGTGGTACACTGTACGTGGGTGGCAGTGATGAATAGCAGTGACGGATCAATCCATCTCCTGTTGGGTGTTGGCTGTTGGCTGTTGCAGCTGCTGCTGGCCTCTCAAGTCTCCACTCACCTCACGTGAGTGACCAAGCAAGCAAAGCAAGGACCATGGCCATGCCCACCATGGCCGCCATCAGTTCGATCGACCAGCATACGTACCAAATTGATTGCCTTTTTGGTCAACAAACACCGGGTAGACTCGACTGTATGGGATTAAACTCATGCGTGACTATAATGCATGCATACAATGCAAGATGGGGAGAGGGAGGCCCGGTGGTTCCTTCAGCTGGACGTAAGGCTGCCTACCTTGTGCACGCTACATAGTACAGATCTCGACACCGCCGTACGTTGCCGGGGTCCCCTTTTCCATTCGCGGTGTCGTCTGTACGTGTGGGAGCCAGCAGCACTTGATCGATTTCATTTTCATTCGTCTGTGCTGTGTTGACCCGGCCAGGCAAGTCAAAAAAACACCAGACGGCCGAGCTGGAGTAACAGGGCTCCTACACCTACAAGGCTAGGATGACTACGAGCCTAACTTGCATGCAGCAGCAAGCGGCCAAGCATGCAGGCGAGGGGCGGTGTGGACGACAGAGACCCCCGGTGTACCTGCACGAGCCGCAGCTGCTACGCCGGTGACAGCTAGCTAGCCATGGTGCACTGCACCCGCACCAGAACCCTTGCTTCCATCTTGCGATGCATGCATGCCACAGACGACAGTGAGCGAGAGAGATGAGAAGGTGTGCTAGCAGGTAGCTGCTGAGCTGAGGCGATCAACGTGACACTACACATGTAGTAGCTACTGTAGTACTCAATCCATCCCAAATTATTAGACATTTTGATTTTTCGAGATACTTATTTTTTACTATGCACATAGATATACTCTATGTCTAGATACGTACTAAAAGTAATGTATCTAGAAAAAAGTCAAAACATCTTATAATTTAATTGAGCCAGCAGTGAAGATGTTTACTAGTCCTACGTGGCACTACGGGCTATTGCATCAGGCAGGCAGCTGTTGTTGTCCTGCTGCACCAATCAAATCCAGGGAGCAGTGGCTTTCCCTTGTGATCAGGGCAACATACACCACCGCCGGCCAGACCACACCACACCACAGCTGCTTCCCTCGTCCATCTGCCCTGGGCCCTGGCCCCCAATGCAAGGCCCCAGCAGCACTGGGCTGGCCAAGAAATAGTGGTATTAACTGTGGATCTTGCCACAAATGACAGTTGCAGCGCATGTGAGGCGCCATCATTTCGTTTCGTTTCCATGAGATTGAGATGTGAAGGAAGCTAGAGCTAGCTCTCCATCCATCCATCAGGGCAGCTGCAACTAGTGCAAGCATGCATGAGAGGCCACACGGCCTTTTTGGACGGCCGTGCATGCATGATTAACTCCAATCCCTGTGTGTGCGTGTGTTTTCTCTTCCCTGAAACGCAAAGCCATCACCTGTAAGCAAGCAGGTAAGCACATGTGCAGTTATTCACCGCATTCGGCTGATCATTTCTCTTCTTATTTCAGCTTGTTTCAGCTTATTCTCTCTCACATAATACTATTGAATCATCCAAAATCAGCCAATAGCTGGTCATGCATGCAAGCTGCATGGGCATGCTGGTGTGGCCCGGACAGCACCAGCAACATTTGGTCATGCATGCATGCTGTATGGGCATGGGCATGGGCCGGCTCCCCCTTTCCTTCAGTTGTGCTCTTCCTTCCCCCAGCTGCCGGCCGGCTGCTTTGGCTGAGATAGCAAGGAAGCTGATTAATTGGACAGCAACAGGTGGAGTTGTAAGTATAAGTAGGCCTTGTTTGGAAATGGCTGCATTTCAACTTGAAGCCAGCTCCCAGTGTCAAATCAGGTTGATTGTTAGGGCAAAGCCGAGGTCGTTCATTTCACACTGGACTAGATTGTATTGAACAAGAGTCAGAAAAGTCATAAAGAACTACACTCCCCCCACCCTAACCTGTCTCTTCCAGTTTCCCGTGACAACACACTCCAGGCGATAATGGTATGCAGGTCATTTGAGTTAATTACCTAAGCTCCATAAGAAAGAAAGAAAGAAGAGACAACGCATGCACGGCTATGCATGGGTTCCTTCCAAAGCGCAAATGAAGGTGTCGTGCATGCCAG